CCCCCCTTGCGCTTCTCTTCTGCAGACTAAATACGCTCAAATCCCTCAGCCTCTCCTCGTAGGTCGTGTGCTCCAGTCCCTCATCAGTTTGGTTGCCCTCCGCTGGACCCTCTCCCGTGCGTCCACACCCTTTCTATACTTGGGGGGAGGGCAGAACTGGACACAATACTCCAGATGTGGCCTCACAAGAGCCGAATAAAGAGGAATAATCACATCTCTGGATCTGCTGGCAATGCTCCTCCTAATGCAACCTAATATGCCATTAGAGAGGGCAGAACTGGACACAATACTCCAGATGTGGCCTCACAAGAGCCGAATAAAGAGGAATAATCACATCTCTGGATCTGCTGGCAATGCTCCTCCTAATGCAACCTAATATGCCATTAGCCTTCTTGGCTACAAGGGCCCACTGTTGACTCATAGCCAGCTTCTCATCCACTGTACCCCCAGGTCCTTTTCAATACTGGGATCTAGCTAGCTGGTCGAGCCGGAAGGCTGGGGAATATGAATGGGCTGTTTCTGAGGCCAGCAGCGCACCGGGTCATCTCGGCACCAGTGGTCCTGTCTTCCAGACAGCCAAGACAAAGGCACAGAGGAGTGACAAGTACTGTGGCTAATGGTCGGCTGGGCCTCCTGTAATAGTGGGGGGGGTTCCAGTCTCAGCTTAGGAATAACAGTGAAGGATCCAGAATTCTCAGTCCCCCTCACTGTTCCCTCTCCAGTTTTCCATCCATGTGCGGAATAAATTGTATGTGCACCGAGGCATGCGGGAATGTGCACCAGCGGTAGAAACAAAAATGTAGCTGTGGGCGCTCTGCTACTTGGAATCTCTGCTGCGTGGCCGCACAAGCGCACAGCTGACAGGGAACCCTGGTCCCAGCCTGTCGAATGACCCAGGCGAGATCTTTGGGGCCCAGCACTGGCTCGTGACGGTGACTGGCTGGTGATGGGGCTCTATGCACCAGGCTGGTTCATGCCCAGGCTCTGGGGCGTGCGGCTGAAACCAAGCGGCCCACAGCTGGGAGATGGTGAGTCTCAGCCGTGTGTAACTCAGCCAGAGCAGGGCAGCCAAGACACTGCCTTGACCTTAGGACCCTCCTTTGGCCAGAGCTCAAGTCCTGCTGCAGCCCAGGGAGAAGATATTGCTCCAAGAATTTTTATAATGGAAAGCGTTCATCAGCCTCAGAGCAGGGCTTTCTGCTGCCCCCGCTCCCCCCAGCCTGTGTCTTGCTCCTACCAGGCCAGAGAGCTTCTGGCTCATGTCCTCTGTGTGGACGTACGTGGGCCCCCCACCCTTAACTGGCCTTTCCAGAGAGGTTGCCACCTGCCAGTCACCGCCGGGCTTTCATCTCAGCCCTGGGCGTCGGGGCAGCGCAGAAGGTACGGCACTGCCTTTTAGACGTTGGACTGTTACAGTTCAGGCAGCAAAGTGTGTGTGTGTGTGGGGGGGGTTTGCGGGCTGCCGAGTAAGTGCCTCCCAGTGCCCATCCCACCTCTGAGTGCTGTGAGTAAACAAATCCAGCATCCTTCTCGGAAGGTTTGTGGCTCATGGGCGTAACAAGGAAGCAGGCAGCCCGGTCCCAGCTAAAGAGAAGAGGCTGGCAGTGAATCAGGCTACGCCCTGCAGCTCTGTGGCAATAACACCCGTCTCAGGACGGCTGCTGCCCTTTCTTCTCCTGCGTCACTCCAGGAACGTTTGCCATGTGCGGCTCTGGGGCTCCTTGTCCATTGGACAAGGAAGCAGGCAGCCGGGGACGGTTAAAAGGAAGTGGCTGGCAGGGAATCGGGCAGTGCCTATCAGCTGTGGAGATAACACCGCTTGCAAGGCTGCTGCCTCTCCTTCCAGCCCTGAGCCTGGATGAGCCTGTTGACAGATGATCTAGCTCCCGGTACTGCAGAGGTGTCCAGAATGATGTCACCCCAGCCTTTGATACCTGGGACCAGGAAACTGTCTCCACTCTTCATGGGATCCCTGCACTGCAGCTCCCCCACCCAACAAGGACTTTTGCCATTGGCAATGCCCCTCGTAGGGGCCACAGGTCAGAGACGCACAGCTTCAGGCAGGAGGAGGCCCACTCTGCAGCTGGCAAAGCTGAGGGGAGGCACCAAGAAGCAGGGACATAGTGTGCTTGTGACTCAGGTCCAGGTCCTCCAGGCCGTTACATGCCTAGTGACTTCGGTGGCATGGAGGAGCCTTTTGGTTTGGGCCTGAGAGACTGGGGACGAGACAGTCTGTGGTCCTCAGGCTTTCTACCACCTTACAGCCTCTGACTGCTGGGTCTGCTGGGGTCCTTCTCAGACCCCAGGATCTGTATTCCCTCTAATTCTTTCCATCCGTGTGCAGGATAAATTTTGTCATGTGCACCAAGGCAGATGTGCACTACAATAGAAACATGCTGCTGGCTGTGGGCACTTTGCAAATCAGACGTGTGGCATGTGAGTCTCTCCTGGGTTCACCTTACAGGGGACCCTGGCCAGGAGAATTAGAGGAGCCCCTGGGGTTGAGGACCAGTGGGAATTATGCTCCTAACTCACTTAGGCTCTGTAGAAAATCCCATCTCACTTCTGCTTCAGCATGAGTCATTGGGCACCTGCTGGGTGGTGGCTTTCAGGCGCCTTTGAGGAAGTGAAAAAGACAGGAGAGGGCAGCCCCTGGCAGCTGTGATCCGCCCGTGGGCATGGCTGGAGGTGCAGCCTCCATTGCTAGAAATGCCATGGAGCTGGCCCAGCCACCCAGAAAAGGTCAGGAGCCGGCTGGTGGCTACACTTCTATTGTTTTATTACAATGTTCTCAGCATAAATACACAAACTCCAAAACTCGCTCGGACGCATCACCAGTCCCATGCGCACAGACGCCGAAATGCATCAAGGACCGTCCAATAAATAGTGCTCAGCCCAGCCCCGGGGAGCCAGCCCAGGGCGGCTGGACACGGCGTCACGTGCCACCTGCCCTCGGACCAGCGCGGCCCAGGGAGCCAGGCCTCCGCGGGGCTGCCAGACGCAGCTCGCTTGAGGGCAGGGCCAGGTTCTGCAGAAGGAGCCGAGCCTGGTCAAACCCGCTGCTGGGCTTTGGTGCGGCCCAGCTGAATAGGGGTTCAGAGCCTGGAAGAAGAGTCTCTCAGGAAGCCAGGCGCCATGGCGACGTGGCAAGCTCCCGCCTGCCTGTATTCCTGCTCCTAGCAGAGGGACCCCCCCGTCCCCCAACATGGAGAGTCCCCTAGGCTGCTGTCTGTCAGACAGTCAGGTGCGCCATGGCGACCACTTGCCTGTGGGCCCCAGGCCCTGTCTAAGTGTCTCCTGCCCGTGGGCACCTGCTCGGCCCAGTCAGGGCCCCTCCTGCAAGGACTCAGATGACCCAAAGGGATGTACAGAGGGTTGGCCCCGGGGTGGTGGCTCACAGAGCCAGAGAGGGGGCCGCGGGGTCTCCGGAAGCAGTAGGTGATGGGGAGGCAGGTGCCCAAGGGGAACAGCGAGCTGGCTCTGCAAGGGGCAAGGCCCTGGGTGTGACCTAGGGTGTGAGAACCAGGCTACAGCAGGGTGGGCTGGTCTAACACAAACGACTGTCCGGGGCCAGCGAAGCTGTGGGAGCAGGGATGTGGCTGTGGCATTAGGGGGCATTCAGTGTGGTACCCAACCAGTGCATCTATTCTTGCTCTAGTGCTGGACTCTTGCCTGGCACAGGCCGGAGAACACCACCCTGGTGCCTTGAGCCCAATCACATGTGTTGCGTCAGTGCGGGTGGGGGGGGTCTGTGGCCTGTGACAGGCAGGAGGACAGAGTGGCTGGCCATGATGTTCCCTTCTGGCTTTCAAGGCCCAGAAAGGCGCCAGTCGGAACCTCCCTGGGCCAGACAGACTCCCCTCCCTTGTGATGTGGCTGGCTTAGCCCCCCGGCCGTCGGCTCTTGGGCTGCCTATCACGGCAGGGTTGAAGCCGTTAGTAGGCGAAGCTGCTCCCCAGGAAGGTACATCTCGGCCCTTCCTGGCAGAGCCTTAGTGCAAATTAGAAAGCAACAGTCTGGATAATTGCTCATTGAACATACTAAAGATCTTCCGTGTTCTCCATACGGGGTTTGCCCTTGCAGGCTGGGACGGAGCATACTGGATGCCAGTATTATTTCAGTCCCTCTTGCTAGATCTGAATGTGCCTCACACCCTGCGCATGGGGGTCTCGGACCCTCCAGGCGAGATCTCTCCCGCTCGTGGGTTCGGGCGGGAGTGCAGCACGAGGATTTTGACCTGATTCCAGAAAGGGGGCAGGAGCTAGAAGAAGAACGCTCCTGGGAACCCATCTGAGCAGAGCGACGATGCAGATCAACACTGCAAACACTCTGCGGGCTAAGGCCCCGCCGGCCCCTGCCCTTTCTCCTGGAGAGGAGATGAACTGAGAGGGGTCTCAGGCCAGCTGAGGCATTTGCTGATTTCAGAGGTGCCGGCAGGGCATGCGAATTCAAGCCCCATGGGGAACTGGAAAAGGATCTGCCTCCACGGTGCTCCGCTCCTCCTGTCTTGGGACCAGGGAGGCAGGGAGCCGGAGTTGCCTCTAGACAGCCTTGATGGTCATGGCAAAGTTGTCATACACTGTCTTCGTGCTTGTCTGGAGGTGGGGGTTGGTGTACACTTCCCCCAGCATCATGTCCCCTTCCTCTTCGTCCTCACTCAGATCGAAGAAGGCTCTCAGCACCCTCGGCCGGAGGTAGTGCAGCACCACCACGACCCCCCCAATCAGGAAACACAGCAAGCCTGGAAGACACAAGCAAGGCACGCACACTCAGCAACCTTCCCTACTGTGCAAGAAGGACCCCTCACCCCACCCCACCCCAAGCAGCATGTCCCTCCTGGAGGACGACAGCTCACATCCAGCCAGCAGCGGGGGACACACACCAGCTTCCACCCAGCTGACACTCCCATGTGTATTCTGACAAGCCTGGGGGAATGGACCGCAGATGGGGCAATGCAGACCCTAGCACCATCCAGGGCTGCCTGGGACAGCGAGTACCAGCAGAGCTCTGCCTATAGCCTGCTCAGCAGAGCTGTCTCAAGAATGACAGAGGGTTGGAGCAATTCCCTCTAATTTTTTCCACTCGTGTGGAATAAATTTTGTTATGTGCACCAAGGCATGTGTTAATGTGCACCACCAGTAGAAACACATGCTGCCGGTGTGGGAAGCTGTGGGCGCTCTGCTAATCATTCAAACAAAAGCTAGATAAATTCATGGAGGACAAGTCCATCAATGGTGATTAGCCAGGTGGACAGGAATGTGTCCCTAGTCTCTGATTGTCAGAAGCTGGGAATGTGTGACAGGATGGATCACTTGATGGTCACCTGTGCTGTTCATTCCCTCTGGGGCACCTGGCACTGGCCACTGTTGGCAGACAGGATACTAAACTAGATGGACCTTCGGTCTGTCCCAGTGTGCCCCTTATTAATCTCTCCTGGGAGGACATCCAAACGCTCAGCTTACAGGGAACACTGGTTGGGGGGGATTTTAATGTTTTTTCCTTTTGATTTTTAAATTCCCTGTGATTTTTTTTAAATGACCAAAAAAACAAAATAAAAAATTGGTTCTTTAAAAAAAAACCTGTTTTCAGATTAAGAAAAAACCGTTGATTTTTCAGTTTTTAAAAAGAGGCTTTGAAAACCCCAACCAATTTTTTTCCAAAACCGCCAAAATGTTTTACCCCCAAATCAATATTTTTTACCAAAACGTTTTCCGTTCAGGGGTTTCGGTGAAAATGTCAGGCATGTCACTCACAATCAAACACATCCAATGGAAAAACCCGCCATTCATCAGCCCCATGGAGGAGGGGGCGGGACTGCAGAGCACAGAGCAGTGTGGCGAGAGTCACAACTTGTGGCTCTGACCCTTGCGGTTCGGCTGTGAGGGACTTGGAACTGGACAAGAAGCAACTACATGAGGTGAATCTGCCTCCCCCCCGTCCTCAGTGACCTGGTCTCCCCTAGCGCCACATCCCACCCAGAGCAATGGGGATACCTACTTGTTGCAAGCGTGAGCCAGAAGGAGGCCCCGTAGACAGTGTGCAAGGAGACTGGGCCAAACTGGATGGTGCACAGGGGGGAGTTCCCGATGGTGGAGAAGGACAGCAGCGAGAAGATCATGAAGATCCCTGTGACCAGGCTCATGTAGCCGCCGTAGACCAGGACTGGCATGGAGAACAGCATGTTGGAAATGAGCCAAGCACAAAACGCCACCCTGGTGGGACGAGAGAGGCCACAAGAAGATCAGATCCACCCGGAGCCACCGACCGAGAGCCGGCTCCAGTCTTGTAACCCCCTCCCTGCCTGAACGCTTGCCTCCAGGCTGCTCCTGGCCTTCCCCAGGACAACACACTGGGTGCCCCTCCCGGCTTCCATGGGCCAAGCCAGAGGGGCTGCAGGTGTGGACAGAACGTGGCTCCCTCTTGTGGGACGTGGCTGTTCCTCCATAGGGGAAGGGGCGGCTTTTTGCCATCAGCCGGCAAAGGGCTGCGAGGCGCTGAAAGCCAGGCCAGGCAGGCTGAGGGAAGAGGCAGAGGGCAGAGAATCCTCCCGCAGGGATGGGGTCCACCCCCAAATCCATGTCACAGGACGGCTCCAAGTCCCATTGGAAGGACTCTCTCCAGGCTCCCCCGTCTGCCCAGCCCCAGTGGAGTTCACCCGCAGTCTCTCCACCCGCTCGTGCTTCCTGCACAAAGGCCACAGGCGCCAAGATTTCCCTAAACAGGAGCCTGATGTTGGGTGCCTCCATGTGCATCTACGGAGTGTTCCGTAGCCCCCGTGACCTCCCCCTGGCATCCGCAGGGCCTGGCTCCTGCTGCATTGTTAGTGGGAATGGACTGATTGGGGGGCGAAGGGGAGCAGGCCTGCTCCCGGGGTAGGGCAGGCCGGCACTGGCTTCCAGGCTCTCCCGGCACAGCGGGCTTTGTTACAAACCCATCCGATTGGAGCAGGCCTGGGCCACCCCGCAGCCCAGCTGGCTCCCCAGGCAGGAGAAGGGGGCTCACCACATGGTTGCGGATGCGTAGTGGCCGGATATCCTGTACTGGTTGTGCACACTGCAAGGGCTCTGCTGGGTGAACTTCTCTGCCACGTAGAGGATGGGGCTGGGCAGCCCCTTCTCCAGGCTGTCCCTGTAGGCCTGGTCGTAATTCTCTCCGAAGCGCCAGGCAAAGTGCTCGTTGTAGCTGATGGTTTCGTTGATCTGGTTCACGGGGTTCCCTGCAGCAAAGGGAAGCGGCGTGTCAGCTTCGGGGCAGAGCGGGGATTCCGCCGAGCGTGGGGATCCAGGGGGCTTAGCCGTAACCGAGGGGCCAGGGCTACTGTGGAGCCAGCCTGCCCTGGGGGAGATCACGCTGGGAATACGAGCAGCCCCGCAGTCTCCCCTCCCAAGGCCGACCAGTTCTGGTGGGCTGTGTGTCAGCCCAGAATCAGACATCGGGCAGTTACCGTGGTGGGCAGCTGCCCTCTTCTGACCAGAGATCGGCCTGATGGTACAGGCAGCTTCCCCCCACCTCACAGGGCCTGGGAGGTCCAGCAAGCAGACTGATACCCAGCATGCACTGGGAGCCAGGGATATACAGAGCTCCTGCAGCTGGTAGTGGAGTTAGGTGAGGGCCAACGGCTCCGGTGCCTAGTCAGGGCTGGGAACAGGAGAGAGACCCTCCCCCAGGCTGCGCACAAGAGACGTGTCGCACGGGCAGATGCACCCTAGTTTTGCACACTCACCTACTAACGTGACATTGATGCCTCCCAGGCCGACGTGCAGGCCGACGTCGGCGTTCACCACAGCGTTGCTGAAGGATTTGTAGGAGGTGTTCGCCCTCACCCAGCCGGTCTCCCAGTCCCCGGTGAACTGCACAGCTGGGAGGGAAGAGGAATTATGGGCGGAGTTAGTTGGGGGGGGCTTGACTAGCTTCTCACCCCCCTTACATGTAGCCCATTTGGGGATCCTGTTCCCATCCTCCCCCCGCAGACCGGATTGCCTGGCCCTGTGGCATGTAGATGCAGGGAAGAGCCCTCACATTTTAGATCCAGAGGCTCACGCCGACTAGGGCATGTTCCAGCAGGACCCGGCCGTGGAACAAAGCACAGTGGCTGGGCGGCCTAGTGGAGAGAGCGCGGCCCTGGAAGCCCCACGCTCTCAGCTTGTCAGAGCTCTAAAGCTGGGGCAGACACAGACTCTAGAGGTAGCTGTACTGCCGGGGGATGGGGGAGCTGGAGGTGGGGTGGTCTGTAAAGGGCCACCTGAGATGCAACATTCGGAGGAAATGCCCCAGGGCAGATGCTGAGAGTTGCAGGACTTGGGGCTTTGCTCCCTGAGCCCTCCCCCTTTCCTCCTCCCCCCGATACTGGCAGGGGCTCACAGAACCAGAGTCGCTATCTATGGCATCCAGACTGGGTTTCCAAGGATGCCAGACAGAGCAATTCTTGGCTGCGGCTCTGAAAACGCTTCATTATTCTTGTGTTCCCAAGCAGCACTGGGCCGTCTCGTTAGGCTGAGAGCACGTGGCAGCTCTCCAGTGCTTCGGGACTGGGGAGCTGCCTCCCACCCCTTCTCTGAGAGCCAGTCTCCTGCATTTCCCCAGTGCGCTCCCGTGTCCCCTGGGATGTAAAGATGGCAGGGACCAATCCCTGGGGCTATCGGGTGCCGCCTTTACAAACAGGGCTCCAACCATGCTCAGCCCCGATGGGCTGTTCCCATAGTGTGGGCAGGTCTGTGTGCGTGCACCACTGCCCTCTACTGGCTGGAATCAGAACTGCTCAGCTGTGTGTCATAGGCCCCCTACTGCTTACAGCCAGTCTCCTGGCTGTAGAGCTCACATGAGGGGCTGCATGTTTTGGCTCTGGGGGGATTTGATTTTGAGTCTCTGAGAAGCTCCAAGTGGCCACAGAGGGCAGAAGAGTGACAGCCTCTATCCTCCTCGATGGCCGTGTGATTATTAAAATATGATTGATCCCATTATAGAGATGGGGAAACTGAGGCCCAGGCAGGTTATGTGACTTGTCTAGGAATGGAACCCAAACTTCCCCAATGAGCACATCCCACAGCCTCCCAGCCAGGAAGTGCCCCTGCTCTGGAGCACGGCCCCATGCGTTCCAGGACAGAGGGAGGGAGCACTTACCAACAATCACCACCCCGATGAAGAGGCTGAGAATAACCCGGAGCAGCCAATACAACCTCTGTGGGGAGACAGACAGACCAGGGTCAGCGGTGAGGAGTGGCCACCAAGTCCTCACTTCTCTCCCCTGCCAGCGAATGCAACCCAACCACTTCCAAGGAGCAAAGGCAGGAGGAAGCCGTAAGCTCCTGGGGCGGGACAGAGGCTTGCAGGTGTTTGTGCAGCACCTAGCACCCACCTGGAGCTGGGCTCCAAGCCCTACTCCAGCACAAACAGCAACCAATCACATCTCAGCAAAACTGCTGCCAGGTGGGAGGGGCCAGGGCTTGAGTAGCAGCAGGTGCAGCCTCTCAGAGGGGAGGGGTAAATGCGGGCTGTGAGGGACCCGGAATGGGACTAGCAGGGGACTGTAGGGCGGGGATGTGGTCCCTGGTAGGGCTGTGAAACTGGACGGACAAAGGGCAGAGCTGGGGTGCCTTGGCAGAGCTGGGGCGATGGACTGGCAGGGGGCAGTGGGGCAGGGCTGGGGTGCCCCGGCAGGAATGGGATACTGGACTGGCAGGGGCAGGGCTGTGTGCCTTCGCAGAGCTGTGGAGCAGGAATAGTAGGGGACTGTGGGGCAAGAATAGCAGGGGGCCTTGGCAGGGCTGTGGGGCAGGGCTGTGGGGCAGGAATAGCAGGGGACCTTGGCAGGGCTGTGGGGCAGGAATAGCAGAGGCTGTGGGGCAGGAATAGCAGGGGGCCTTGGCAGGGCTGTGGGGCAGGAATAGTAGAGGCTGTGGGGCAGGAATAACAGAGGCTGTGGGGCAGGGCTGTGGGGCAGGAATA